TTGACAAATGTAATTTGCATTTCTACAAACATAATAGTATACTTCGATAAATATTATACGTTTTATACGTAGTTTATACGTTTTTTACGTATTTTACCGTAAAAAACTGTAAAATGTAAAAAACTCTAGATAATGCTCGAATAACCCAACCCTGGGAACAAATATATCTATCTCTATTTTCCGAGTGACCGGCTGCTTAACATTGAGTGAGCGTTCCAGTATATGTTATAGTTCAGTATGTTAGATACAAAAAATTATATGAAACTATATTTTTACTATATTTTTAAAAAAGTTTTGATATATAATCATATATACTTATACACAAATTAAAATTATTATATCTAATTATGCAAATTTATATACCAAATATGTCCATACAATTTTATACATAAAAAATTTTTTACCGGGAACAATTTGCTTTTCCAGCCATAATTCCAAAAATGTCTTTGTTTCATCTTCTCCTCAATTCATACCTTTTCTGCAAGACATTTTGATTAGAGAGACTAAAAGATTATAAGTTTATAATTTTAACCTATATCTTTTAATCAACTTATAACTTTAAAATACGTTTCATGCGTTTACATCGTTATTTGTATCATTTGATACGCGTATCAGTTTAGTATGATACTCCTGTTTAATACGCTCGTATCAAGTTGATCCGATAGCGTTTACATCGTGCGTACTAAAATATTTAGTACGAATTTGGTACGAATATAGTACATGATACGCGTATCAATTGCACGATGTAAACTAAGCCAGTGATGAAAGATCGAGCCCGCTGCGATTGGCTTCGATACTCTCGTTGCTGCGGACTCGATCTTTCATCACTGGCTATAGGTCGGCGCTGAGCATAGAGCTTATACTCATGGAGAGGCCATGCGAGCGCAAGGAAGATCGACAAAAAGAGATATATTTTTCTGTTTCAATTGTGGCACTTCTTATAGAAGAAAATAACAGAGAACACGGAGTGGGGGAGCCACAGTTGAGACAAAATATGGACAAAATATCTCTCTTTGTCGATCCTCCTTGCGCGGCCCTCTCTATGGTTAGCATATAGGCATGGCCTCTCCATGAGTATAAGCTCTATGGCGCTGAAAAAGAGAGATTGGCTTAAGTCGCGTTGCATCAGCCATATTGGTTGGATGTGCGTAGTTCTACCAGAGAGAAACCTGAGAGCGGCCATCCTAATGTAATTTTTTACGACGGTTTCAGCCGCTGGTTTTAGCCGTATTTCCACAAAAGTGGAACTCAAAGGCCGTTCTACATTAAACGCAAGTCGCAGATCTCGTG